GCGACCGATGATAAAGTTAATAGTGAAGATGCTAGTTGCAACACTTCTAAAGATGATGCATCCGGTGACAAAGTTGATGATAAAGAGACAAAAGAAGGTTTGCATCTTTTTTCATCTCATTTAATATTTAAATAATATTTTTGTCCTAATTAGATAAAAAATAATATGGCTAAGATATTCTACGTAAAGGTAAGTTTCTTTTTTATATTGAAAAATCACACTATCTATTCGATTATTTCGAAGATGGTCTTTTGGATTGCAATTAAATATTCAATATATGCAATCCCGTATTGCAAAGCAATGAAGAATAGTTACTAAAATCTACATTTATTATACTATAACCCTTTTTAATAACAAAAAAAAAAGAATATTTTTTTTAACATATTAGAAATAAATAAATAATGAAAAATGAAATAGATACAGAATATATTGTTGAAGATGAACTTGTTAATAAAGGAAAAAACGAGATTTTGCTTAATAGAGGACATCGTAGATTAATATAAGTTAAACGATCAAATAAAGGTGCATATGTATTTCCATCTGGCATAAGACATTTTGTTGATTGAAATAATGGTGATGAATATTTTTTTTGATAATCAATATAAGAAAAATATCGTTGATAACTACGAAGATGCGCACAATTGCATATTGGTATATTAAATGTACATTTTTAAAATATTTGTCATTGAATCAAATGAAATATCATCTGAAATTGATCTGGGGTAGGTATGATTATTTACACTCATTAATAACTAAAATGTTTCGTACATTATTACATTGAAGTAATCGGCTTGTTCGAACGTAACGCTGTTACGTTTTTGACACATTCTTCTACAATTATCTCCAGAAATGTAATAGCTAGAACGTTCGTTGAAACGCCATTCGATGCAGCTTATCGAACTCTAAAGGGTGGTCCATAAGTTCTGAGGAAATTTTAAAATTCACTGTTCTGGCATATAATTAAAGCAAACTCTTCCAAATTTTCGGAGGTTAGTGTACATATGTAGTACTACATAACCATAAATTTCGATGTCTATATCTTTTACTGTAAATGAGTACATGAAAAAACATTATCATACACTATTTTTTCTATTTTCCAATAACATAAATTCATATAATGGAATGTGATAATGAGAAAACAATTACTATTTCCTGTTTTGTTTTATTAACCAATTTAAGAGAAAAGAAAATTGTTTTTTTACCCCCGCACGCTCGTTTTAGCACGTGACAATTCGATGTATAGAATTTATTTTTTTCTAAATATATTATATTGACAAGTAATAATCAAGATGATAATAAAATCGAAAAAATAGTGTATGATAATGTTTTTTCATGTACTCATTTACAGTAAAAGATATAGACATCGAAATTTATGGTTATGTAGTACTACATATGTACACTAACCTCCGAAAGTTTGGAGAAGTTTGCTTTAATTATATGCCAGAACAGTGAGTTTTAAAATTTCCTCAGAACTTATGGATCACCCTTTACTTATTCTATAAAAAAATATTTTTTTGCTGAAGCCTCAGATATCAATAAGGGTTACATTGTCGCGTAACACTGCTATATAAAAAGACCATTTTTCTTCAGTACCACGAAGAAAACTCTAATATCTTGCGATATATTATGTTCAAAAGAAATGCTCTTAGAACTACTTTTGTAGAGCTTTGAACCAGCTTTCTAAAACCAAAAAAAAATTTCTTTTATCAATTTTTATTTGTGTGACAAATGCAAAAAACAACTGTAACGCTGTTACACACTTTTTTGTCAACCATTTTTAAGGTACTAAATATCGTCCGAATGATAGGAATTTTTTAACAGTTACTCATTATTGTGTAGATTAACCTCGACCAAAGAATCAGATTAACTCATTGACAAGGGAGCTCAAAAAATGGACAGGAAGTTGGGAAGGGTATTGAACGTTAAAAATTATTGCCAGCTATTAAAATTAAACCTAAATAGGCCATTTTGTAGAGAATCCTATTCTGCATTGAATGGTAAGTCTCTCGACATTTTTTGGAAAACTTTCTTGGGTAGAAAACTCGAAATACGATTTTTCAAAAGTTAAAAACTCAGGTTTTGCTGAGAAAATCTGATTTTTTTACAAAATAAATCTCAGACTCGTAATCAGCGTTAAAAATGACGTCTAATACCTTATTTAAATCTGTTCAACTCGAAAAAAAAAATTTTAAAAACTTGATCGGCGAAGTGTCGCGTCACGTGAACAAGCCGTAATACTGACAACTTGAGCGATAAATATCATAAAGATAAGTGAATTGATATGAAAGTGATTGACGTCAATATAATTGAAAAAAAATTGCACAACGTATATAGTTTATGGCGTAATTATGATGTTAAGAAACAACCATATTTTTATTCATGTATTTATTTATTAACTCATTTGTCAATCGAAAATTTCCTTATTTCAATTAAAATCATTCAAACAACTATATTAAATATACTGTTAAATTATAAAAGATGATTCTTCACGATACAATGACGATTATTTTTTATGTTCGATACGAAGATGAAAATAAACATTGCGAGTATGGTATCAATCATCAAAATTTTCTATTTTATACGTTAATCTTTTTATACAGAACAATTGATATATTTTCAGTGAAAAGTCTTACAATATATTAATATTTTCGTTCTAAATATTTTTCAGATCTATTCAGGTATAGGTTATATGAGTGAAAGACAATTTTTGATACGTTTCAATAAACACAAACCATGTTAATGAGTGAAAACGTGGACTCCAAAAACATTGATTAGAGAATATTTTTCAAATATTCATAAGTAAAGCGTTATGCAACAAAAAATATTCGTATTCAACCAATAGGTAATTGTAATATGAAAACCCCCGGTTTTACGAATATTAACTAGGTCATTGATAACTGATCTTGTTCTTTTACTGAAAAAAAATACCTAAATCATGCTCCTTGTGTATGACTGGTAGGTTTTCGAAAAAAAAATTACATTTTTATATTTTTTGCGCATCCGTATTTTTTGACTAGGCACCAAATAACGCTAGATAATACGGCGATTTATTCATCCGTACCGAGTAAACAAAACTTATTTACCACTATATAAATCAACATTTTTTTCGAAGAATATATATTATTTTTCAACATATTTCACAAGCAACAATGCCAGAGCACGTTTTTTTGGTAGATAACACTACAGGTAAAAAGTATCGATTAAATGGTGTTTTACCACCGGCTAGTTTGCCGGCAGGCAGCGCTGCTGGTGTAGCTAAAGCTTTCGCTCCACTTATACGTTATCCAGTCGAAGAACTTCCACCAAAAGTTGACCTTCGAAATGATATGACAGAAATTGAAAATCAAGATCCATATTCACAACAAATTGGAAGCTGGTAAAAATATTTTTATTATCTAAATATTTTTATTCCCTTCATTTTATTGTTTTTAGTACAGCTCATGGTTTTGCTGGTATACAAGATTTTTTTGTTTTTTGATTTATCTTTTATTATATGTATTCTTGTTTTTCTTTTTAGGAGCGTATGAATATTTAAACAAGAAAGCTCATGGTACTGACATTAGAGTTAGTCGTTTTTTTATTTATTTCAATTCACGAGTGAAGGAGTTCAAAACAGAGAATGTTAATGATTCTGGTTGTCACTTGATATATGTTATTGAAGCATTGAAAGAATATGGTACATGTCTTGAATCTTTTTGGCCTTATGATACTGGACGTCTTAATTACAAACCAACGGAGGAATCATACGAGCAAGCTTCAAGTCATAAAATAGCAGACGCACTTAAAGTTAATATTGATTTAAATGAAATGAAATCATGTCTTGCACACGGCTTTCCATTTATAATTAATATATCAGTATTTGCTTCATTTGGTAATGGAGGTAAATCTGGTGTTGTACCAATGCCAACCCAAGCCGATTTGGCTCAAGGAGAAACGGGAGGGTTTGTAGTAGAATTTTTGTAGAAAAAAAATATTTTATTTTTATTATTTTTAGTCATGCATTATTGGTTTGTGGATATAGTGAGGAATCACAAGCATTTATTGTTCGAAATTCATGGGGAGAAGATTGGGTATAGATACGATTTATATATAAGACAAAATATTTTTATTTATGATTTGATTATAGGGTGAAAAAGGATATTGCTATATTCCATATGGTTATATAACTAGTCCTACTTATTGTCATGAAGCATACGCTATTCGAAAAGTAGAAAATGATGATTTTGGTCAAGACAATTGGTGCTGGCAAGATTCTCAGAATTATCTTGCTAACATGCCTGTGCCTAATCCTGATCATCATGCTATCCAACGATTCCAAATAGATGAGGAAGAAGCAAGTTGTAATGCTTATGAATTTACTGAAGAGACATCAGAAGAGATACTAGAAGGTTAGCGTTTTTTCTCATATTATTCAGCATTTTAAATATTATTTTTGTTTTCAGAAAGTGGAGAAAATTTTAGTTAAGATACTCCATGCAAAGGTAAGTTTCTTTTTTATATTGAAAAATCACACTATCTATTCGATTATTTAGATCATGGTCTTTTGGATTGCAAAGCAATGAAGACTAGTTACTAATGTCTACATTTATTATACTATAACCCTTTTTAATAACAAAAAAAAAGAATATTTGTTTTAACAAATTAGAAATAAATAAATAATGAAAAATGAAATGGATACAGAATATATTGTTGAAGATGAACTTGTTAATAAAGGAAAAAACGAGATTTTGCTTAATAGAGGACATCGTAGATTAATATAAGTTAAACGATCAAACAAAGGTGCGTATGTGCTTCCATCTGGCATAAGACATTTCGTTGATTGAAATAATGGTGATGAATATTTTTTTTGATAATCAATATAAGAGAAATATCGTTGATAACTACGAAGATGAGCACAATTACATATTGGTGTATTCGCTAAACTAATAAATGTTGAATTAATAAACATTTTTAAAATATTTTTCATTGCATCAACGGAAATAATTTGAAATTGATCTGGCTTTGGTATAATTCTTTGTAATGGAATACCATTCATACGAATAGTAAATATTTTTTTTGGAGTCTCCCATTGATGTGATATATCAATCCATTGATCAATAGTTAACGATTGTTTTAATGTCACATCGAAATTTGATGAATGTAAATTAATTAATTCAACATTTGTTAAATTGAATAAAATTTCTAAATGTTCAATAGATTCCATTGGATTATTTTGTAATAATAATGAAATTAAATTTAACGATTGAAAAGCAAGACCATCAAGAATTTTTATATTATTATTTGATAAATCAAGTATTTGTAAATAATTTAAAAAATTTTTATGAAAATTGGGTATTTTAGTTAATTTGGTATTACTTAAATTTAAATGTATGAGTTGAGTTAAACATGAGATATCGACGAATTCAGAATCGAAATAGGATCCACTTAAATCAAGTATTTGAATTTTGGAATATTTACATAATTGACTTGGCCATTGTGTAAAAGCATTTCGTGCAATAATTTTTGTTATAGTTGAATTAAATATTGGTACATCAGATAATGTATGTGAGCAATTTGATAATATAAATGCATATTGTGTAAGATAACATTGACATGATGTATTTGGAATACATGAAGTTAAATTATAAGATTTTGTTGAATTAATTAGAAGAAGAAAACAAAATAAAAAAAATTGATGTACTGCTGCAGACATTTGTTGTTCAAGAAATCAAATGAATATATATATATATATATGTTCTTCTTTTACTTTCGTTTTCTTTTTCTCAGACTGTACGATTAATACGTCATCAGACAATATTTGTAATTTGACACTACACATGTTTTTGCTTCCTATTCAAATCGTTGACTCGACGTGACAATTAACAAATAATCAAGCTATTGTATATATTGTAATCGTATAAGATTTAATTCAACTGTCTCGATATTACGATAAGCTGTTGTATGATTGATGAAATAACACATCCTTTCAACAAAAAACATCTTTGGTGATTTTAATTTAAATTTGTTTATGCTTATCATACAATGAAGTATAACATGTCAATTATTTATATAATCTATTTATTTTCTTGTAAAGTTCAAGAAAGAAAAGCATAATCGTCGCTTATGACAATAATGAAAATTATATGAACAAGATGATTTAATAAATAGAGATGTTTAGAAATTTGTATTATCAGTGATATTGATTTGATTCTTCTGTCTGATATATATAGAAGAGAATTCTGGTCTCTTAGAAAACATCCTTTGTAGTAAATATTGTTCTGACAAGGGAGTCGATGCAACTGATTAATCACTATTTCAATTAAATATAGTGGACTAAAGGTTATTGAGTGTGGATGGGAGTAGGTGTGGGTGAGTATTCTATTTTTTCTTTTCCACCCACATTCACACTGACGTCGAATGTGTTTGATAACTTTTATTCTTTCGCGGAACGCATAAAAATTTCTTTTTATAGAAGAAGCCACATAAAAAGTCAATTTTTTTTCTTTTGCTTGTTCACATGGCTTAAAATGAAATAATACAGGGTTTTTTCCTTTTTCATGATTTATGAAAAGGGAAAAAAACGCTACTGATTAGTCACTTAGTATATTTCCATGTTGTTGTTGCTTTTGAATTCTAATCATGTTTTTGGGATTTACCAACTTTACTTTTTGTTTGTCACTCACGAAATTCTTATATAAATTCAAGTTTTACACTCGCTTCCAACATACATTAAAAAGTAAGAAATATTATCAAGAATTCTAGCATATCATTCATTCAATTTAAATTATTGTTAACGTGGTGAGTTTCTGATCCTTTTCATATTGCATACTAATACTAATATATCTTTTGATCAGTATTTCACATAAATATAAACAATGTTTTAACCTGAATTAGTAGATTAAGAATAGACTGATTAGTTACTTTGTATAGTTTATGAAGGTTCTTCATACCATTTTGTAATGAAAAGATGTTGAAAATTTTTGAAGATTTATTTACATATTTATTCATAACTTGACTTTTCAATGTAAAACTTGTATAAGAAGCTATAATTTCGAAAGGTATACATTACGATTCGTTTGAAAAATCTGAGGAACCTTGCAAAAAAAGAATGTACAATATCATTTGAACTGCTTTTAATAATTTAAAATCAATTATTTGATAAACATTAAATGAGTCATTATCCAATGTATTGTTAATAAATAACCATAGTACAATTTATAAGTCATTTTTTGTAGTAAATAGTTCCTATCTGAGTTAAAATGAATCAAACTGAGCTCAAATTAGTCAAAGTTACTTTAATTCAGAGTTAAATAGAGAACTATCATTATCAAATGATACATAATTTTAATAAACCATGTAGTTAGTCAACACAATTTCTCCTCATCAAATAGATTCTATAAAATTTATTTACTAAAAATTTCAAGTTTTGATATTGATATGAAACTTAAAATATGTTTACTATTAAATTAATTTCTTTTTTCAAAATGCGATCGTAAGTCAAGCTAAAGATAATAAAATAAGAAAGAATGATAAAATTTCAAGGTCATGACTACGTGAATTAAATTAAGTTTAAAAATGTTTTATCGATGAAACTAAACTTATTCGAAACTACTTTGATGTACTACAAGATTTTTCAAGTACAAAATTATGATATTTATTTCTTAGACTTAGGTTTAGTCCCTCATACACATATGCTTAAACTGAAAGAATATAAAAACTGTAGTAAAATAACTTTGATTGTCAATTTTTTCAAATCTAATAATCAAAATACAAATCAAATAAAGTTTTTATTTTTTCCAATTTAGTTAATTGCTGAACAAAATAAATCATTCAAATTATTAATTCACTAGAATGAGCAGTTCAGAAGATCGTTATCCAAATGAAGATGAAGTTACTTTAATGCCTGAAATTGTATCAAATCCATTAAGTCATCATGGTGGATTAAATATTAATCATTCAGAAGAAATTAATGGTGATAATGAAGAAGAAGAAGAATCACCGAGACCACCAAATCTAAGTAAGTATTTTAACTACTATATTTATTAAATAATAAATCAGTCAAATAAATAAATAAATATGAACATAGTTCTTTAAAATCTAATAGATAAATTAATAAAAAAATATTATTTTATTTCTGATATTTTTCTAAACTATTCGAATAAGAAATTGAAATGATTCAGGATTATATTAATATTTCATTTTAAATTCGTATTTATTTATTTTTCTTTTAAATTCAAAAACATTTGTTTATTCGATAAATCAAATGACATTTATAGAAGAAAATATTTACAAAAAAAACTAAAGAAAAGAATTATTCTGGAATTTATGGTGTTAATCTGTAGAGAATTAGATAAATAAGAGATATTTGATATCGTAAAAAAGAATTTATTATTTCAATTTTCCTTTTTTTATAAGACTTATTCTCTTTCTCGTAGAGAAGAGTCCAGTAAACATAAATTGTCTGATTGATTGCTTGTTTGTCCGCAGGGTCAAAAAAACATCGAAAATCGATTTTTTTGAAAAAAGACATTTCTCGAGGTTTTTACATACGGGGAGTTCGAATCTGAGGTCTGTTGGGTGACCACGGCTAGGGGTGGGTGGGTGTGAGTGAAAGGTCAAAAAGACATCGAAAATCAATATTTCACGGTTTTCATTGTTTTTTTCAGTAAATGTGAAGAAAATGCATTTCTACGAGAAAGAGCTAAGCAAGTCCTCGGAGGAGCGTTACTTGTTTCTTAAACTATAGTTTTTTTATTATATAAACAAACGAAATTAATCAAAGACTATTTTATAAAACGTATTTTATCGAAGAAAGCTTCATATTGAAATTTTTGACTCACAGTTTAGCAATGAAACTATTCATAATATACTGATTTTTATATTTTTAAATCACTTAATATAACACTGAAAAGAGATTTTATCCATCGTTTTCGAATTATTTTTCCCGTTGAGATATTGAGAAAATTATTAAATAAATATTTAAAATAAAAATTCTTTCGAAAAGTAACAAAGTTTTTCATTTAAAATATTTGTTTTCTAAAAATTAATTTATGTGAATAAGAATAAAATTAATCATTCGAATAGTTTTTCAAGAAAAGAAAACAATATTAGATTAAGAATTGAATATATTTATTGAAAATTAAAATCAATCAGATTCATTTTGTTTCTTCGTGATAAAAATATTTTCTTTATATTAGAATTAATTACAAAAAATCTCTTTCACAAATAATATCATCATTTCGTCTATAGAGTTTATTCAAAATATTTATCTATATTCATTCTCTTTAAAACTCAACGAAATTTTCTCGATTATTTATTCATTATTTTCATTTAATTACGAATAATTTCTTTTTACTTTGTCTTTTTTTCATCAAATGAAATATTTGAAAATTTATGAAAATTAATTGATCATACGATTATTTTTACTATGAAGATTTGAAATTAATTTTATATTTTTTGCATTATTAAATATTTGAAATCATCTACAATTCTTTTTTCTGAACATAAAAATAATAAATATTCAGATTTATCTTTAAACCTTGAAATATTTTCTAATTAAAAAATAGGTTGATTACGGAAACAATACAATATTAAATTCATATACGAATTTCATTTCCCCTCGATCAAATCACTTTCAAATATTCTTTTCAATATTTTTATATTTTCAATTTATTAAAATCCCATATGAAATATCTTATTTTTAATGATTTGAAAATTAATTCGAAATATTGTTTCAATAGATTAACCACTTCAGAAAATATTTTGTAAAATCATTACTTTTTTGTTTCTCAAAAGATTTATTCTAATATTAAATCCGAATCTAAACAAATTTCTCAGAATAAATAGAATTTTTAGATTTTTTTCAAAGGATTATACTGTTTTTGAATTGTTAAATAGATTTAAGTTAAGATTAACTCTTTAGTTTAGAATTTTCATATAAAAAAATTATTTAATTTATTGGTAAAAAAGAAGTTTTTAATCGATTTTATTTAAATCATTGTAATCAAAATGATTTTCATTCAAAAAAACATTTTCCTAAATTAAATTTTTGTGAATATCAAATAAACAGTTTTTAGTTAAAAAATCTCAGTTGCATAACGAAATTTTTTAAAACTAGTTTTGCTCATTAAAAATTAAATTTAATAAAATGAAAATTTTATTTCATTAAAATAAATTCAAATACAAGTTTTTTCTTTTTATTCTCGTTCTTTTTTTGATTTAAAAATAATGAAAAAGATTTTGAATAAAATGAAAACCTTTTTGTTTTAGAGCAGATTCAAACAAAAAAGAATAAATATCAACAATTTGGAATTACTGCTGCCGGGGGAAATGGAAATGGACAGGAATTAAATCAACTCAATTATCCTCAAGGGATCTGTATTGATGATGATAAATCTATTTATGTTGCTGATCATTATAATGATCATATTGTTAAATGGAAACTGAATTCGAATATTGGTCAAATCATTGCAGGTGGAAATGGAAAAGGAAATCAAAATAATCAATTGAATTGGCCAACAGATGTAATTTTTGATAAAAAAAATAATTCTTTTATTATTTCTGATATTGAAAACAACAGAGTAATTCGATATTTTGATCAAAACCAAATAAATCAACAAATTTTTATTTCAAATATTAGATGTTATGGTCTGGTACTTGATAAAGATGGATTTATTTATACTTCTGATTGTGATAAACATGAAGTAAGACGATGGAAACAAGGAGATGCAAAAGGTGAATTAGTTGCAGGTGGAAATGGTCAAGGAGATCATCTTAATCAACTGCATAATCCTTATTATATCTTTATTGATGAAAATTATTCTCTTTATATATCAGATAATAACAATCATCGTGTAATGAAATGGAAAAAAGATGCAAAAGAAGGAATTATTGTTGCTGGTGGAAATGGTGATGGAGATAGTCTCAAACAATTAGATCACCCTAATGGAGTGATTGTTGATCATTTGGGTCAAATCTATGTGGCAGATTTTGGGAATCATCGAGTGATGCGTTGGTGTGAAGGAGATAAAGAAGGTGAAATTGTTGTCGGTGGAAATGGTCAAGGAAATCAATCAAATCAATTGAATTGTCCCACAGGTTTATCATTTGATAATGCAGAGAATCTTTACGTTGCTGATTGTTACAATCATCGAATCCAAAAATATGAAAAAATTTAAAATTAAAAATATTTGTAATTTAATTTAATAAAATTTTGTTTTTTATTTCTTAAAATAAATAAAAAGCATTAATTTGTGAAAAATCTTTCAGAAAAACAAATGAAAATGAATTAGAAAACTTTTTTTTAGTACAATAAATATTTGTTAATTTCAATTTGAAATGAAAAAACTAAAATGAATAAAATAATTCAGATAGAGTTTCTAAGAGAAATCGATTAGAGAAAATTTTATTGTTATAGAGTAATCAAATTAAATATTTTTCAAATTGAGAGAAACATTTAAAATAAGAAGGAAACGAACTTGTGAACAGAACTAAATTGTTATTTTATTAGATTTATTTTTATGATTTTATGATTTATTGAGAGAAAAAGAAGATAAATCATTAAGTATGAAATTTGTTAAAAACGAAAAATTAGATTAGAAAATCAATTTTTTTTAAAGAATAAATATTTTTTACATTTAAATACTAAAAAGAAACCTAAAAAGAATAAAGAATTAAAAGAAAAAGAAAAAATTAAAGGGAAAAAATAGATTGAAAATTTCAATTGTTAAATAAACAATTTGTCCTTATTTTAATAAATCTTTTTTTTCAAATAAATAAATTTAGAAATAAACTAAAAATTTTTTTCATGAGATTATATTAAATTGTTTTTTGACTTTTCTGCTTGGTATAGAAAAAGAGTTTTAATTAACCAAAACTTATTTCGAAAATCTAAGTAAAAAGAAAAACAAATCAAATATATTTTATGAAGTTTCATTCAATTAACAATATAATTCAGCGAATTTAATTAAAATAATGAAATAGTGAAGAAAAGTCAAATGATTTTTTTCTTTTGTATTGATAAATCAAAGAAAATAAAAAAATAAATTCAAAATTTATTTCAAAAAATCTCTCACTAAACGATTATTTAACAAATCAATAAATATTTAATAATAGAAAATAATTGAAATGATTTTATAAAATTATTATATTTCATATATAGAATTAATTATTTTATCTTAGTCTTAAAAGTAACAATATTTTCAAGTTAAATTCTTTAATATCATCAGTTTAGTGTTCAATAAGCAAACGAATAGAAATCACATGAATTAATTATTTTATTTTATATTGACTGAACTTCTTTTCTTTGTTCAAGAATTATCAACTTACTGAAAAACAACGTTTATATTCATCCTAGAATTTTGAAGATGAACAAATTATCAATAGAAAAATAAGTGCGAATCAGTTCATTGACAGATTTCGATTATTGTTTCTATTGGTAAAACATTCAACCTGATAATTCAATTTATAAACTAAAGGGTGCGGGTGCGATCTCTAACTGATATCCACACCCTCAACTAGTGTCATACTCAGTATCAATTCTTTTCAAGACATTGGAAATAATTTTACAATTTGAAAATGGTATAAAGAGAATTATCTTCACGATAATATAACCCAGTTACTTACATTCTTCAAATCGATTTTGTTATGAATAATGATTGAAAATTCAAGACAAATCTTGTCGTTTTATAAATGAAATAACCAGATGTTTATATATTTTTCAAAAAAAAAATAATCTTCTATTATGGTGATGTTATGTTGGTCAACTATAAATAAATTCGAATCTTAAAACTATCAGAAAAATGAGTTCTGATAGAATTTCCCATTTTATCTTTTATCGTTAATTAAAAATTAGAAAGTCAAGAACAAAAGTTTAATTCACTAATATTTTATGTCAATTTGAAAGATTAATTCTAAACAATAATAATTCTTTTACTGGTTTCGTCAAACACAATCTAAAAGAGAGTATTGAAGTTTTAGAGTAAACATTTTGGATCCAATTACATTGCAATACCTATGTTATGCTATAAGCAACAATCGACTGACTCTATCATTGATTAATTAATTCAGAAAATTTTAAAATAAAAATTCGTAGATTTGAATAGTGATCATAGGTTGATTATCTTCAGTATTTATAAAAGTTTCTTTTTTCTTTCGTTCTATTCATCTAAATCGATATCATCTCATGATTCTTCTCCGTGCACACA